GTATGTTTCTACCTTCAGCTGATTTCAACAGAAAACGTGGAAAAATACTCATCTTTGTGAAGTAGAAATTTGTGTATGCATACGTGTCTTTCCCAACCACAAAACTGAGATAGAGACAAGATGAATACCTTGAAATGGATTTCATTGTGCTGGCTGAATTTGGAGAGGAAACAATTGACTGCATACTTGGGACTCAGCCTTATGAAAGTCTGAGGCAGCCCCCACTAGAAAACTAGGAATGTGGGCTACTGCGGGACCTTGATCGACCTAAGAGTGAGTGAATCTAAGATTGGGAACTTTATCTTTTGCAGCCAAAGGCTTTTCTTTTATTCTTGATAAATTACCCGTATTGCCATAAATAAAGCTATACTGAAAAATAGTTTTTCCTCCTTTTTATAAAGGTTACCTTTGACAATAGACACACAATCACAGTTCCTCCAAGGCAACAAATATGAAATGTTGCTTCTGTGACCTTAATGTTGGCAAATGGTGAGTGATAAGCAATGAACCACGGAAAACAGCTCTGCTGTTGCTTATGACTGTTCTGTTTTTCTAAGGCGACTGCTATGTCCTGAACGGAGGAGGAAATCTCCTATTCTGTTTTGCCCTGTGTAGTTGCCAGATGCCATAAGGACCGGCATCATAAGAGCTGTGGTGGTGCAGTGCAGTGGTTAAAATGCAGTACTGCTAGATCAAAATTCAGAAGCTTGGCAGCAGACTTGTATTTATGACGGTTGCAGTGTCCCGGGGTCATGTGCTCAGCTTTTGTGACTTTCTGACAAGCAAAGTCAACGAGGAAGCCAGATTCACTTTACAACCATGTTACTTTTCTGACCTAGCCTTCCCAAGAGAATGAAGCAGACTCCTCATCCCGATAAAACCTATTTTATTTAGGTTAAAGGGAATTCCTCCCCGGCCAACAGTCTTTCAAGAGATTTCACAACTACAGACCTTTATCAGGCTTGGAGAGTTGCCAGGCTGATATCTTTCAAACACCATTCTGTAGCAGCAGTTATTTAGCAGGAAGTCAGGAACAGATTTTCACTGTAATGAATTGAACTGATTGTCTCCTGAAAACTCC